AAAATCACCAAACCTGGGGAAAACTAATTCAAGGAAAATGTGGAAAATGGGTATAAGTTGAAAAACAAATTGTCTAGAAAATTTTTCCTATCAAACAGCTTAAAAGGTGGAAAATGGAAAATAATTTTCAACTTCCATAGAAAATCCTTCCTAACAAACAGGGCCTAATTTTCTTATACGATGAAAATGGTTTCATTTAATCACTATTTAATAAAGTTCTTTGAGCTTATAAGTTAGTGAATATTATAAAATATATGATTAAAAATAAAATTTGACCAACTTACAAAATAATTGGTCAATAAAACAAGGGAGAGTTGTAGCCGAGGTCTCAAATCGTCCTAAATATTGCGGGCTTATCCAAACTTTTCTTTCTTGCAGTTGAGGTCCCAAACCTTTTATTTTCTATTGCGTCGAGAGGACAAATTCATTAATTGACCAGAAAATTAAAAAATTAACCTATTTTGAACCGTTAAATGAGTGAAAATTTGTAACTTTAGATTTTCTCCAATAAAAAAATTAAAAAAAATAAATGAAAAGCCCAGGAAAAAAACAAACAAAGAAAGGAGAGAGAGACAGAGAGAGGGAGGGAAATATGCACCCAATCCCCCACGAACCCATCCACTTCATCTTCTCCAACCACCCCCACTACAACCCAACCCACAACCAAAACCAGATATGGAATTTTTGCACCCCCTCTTGGGGATTTTCCTCTGGTTTATTCATGTAAGGATTTTTTATCGAAATTTTTGATCTCTTCTACTTATTCCGATCCACAGCAGTTTCTATTGCTCGTAATTTTTTCTTTTGACTTCCCAACAACCCAATCAGAATTCTGTGAATAATTTCCATTTTTGTGCTTTGAAATGCTAAATTCCTATAATTCTGAAGTTAAATCACGCATCGAAAAATGAAGCAGTAAAACAAGCAATGCCCATATCGAATTATATTTCGATTAGGCAATTCATTGAGGCATTTTGTGGAAAAACGAGCGGGTGGTGCTTACTATGCTTAAACTGCAATTGTTGAATTTTTGTTCGGTCACTAACTCGAGAATAACATATGTTTTTCAATAGATATCCCTAAAAACCCAACGAAATTAACAGAGGGGGTAAGGTTTTGGAGGGTTGAAAGAAGTATTGAAGTGGATGTTAAAGTCTAAGTTCTCTGAACAATTTGGCCGGCCCGGGTATGGAATTTCTACGTTACCATATCTGCTTTAGCAGCCAAGTTTGGTAGAGTTGGTAGTGTTTGATGGTGGTGCTACCGCCAATTAAAGCAAGAAGAACACAAGGAGCAAAGCATAACGAATAACTTCTTTCAGAAATTGGATTGGAAATTTTTGTTGGGTCACCAACTCTAGAATAACATATGTTTTTCAACAGACATCCCCAAATATGGATTAGGCGATGGGGGTGGCGAGAATGGTGGATTTGATCTGATTTTGGTTGAGGAGTGGGTTGGGTTGGGGAAGATGAAGTGGATGGATCATGGATGTGCGACGGTGGAGGTTCCCCTCTCTCGCTCTCTCTCTCTCGGCCTTTTTTTATTTAATTATTTTATTTGAGAAAATGTAAAATTACAATTTTACCCTTTATTTAATTGGTCAAAATAGGGTTATTTTTTGGGTCAATTAATGAATTTGTCCTTCAAGTGTAATCGAGAATAAAAGTTTGGGACCCTTTTACAAAAATGACAGGTTTGGATATAGTCTGTAATATTTTGGAAGGTTTGAAACCCCCAATTGCAATTCTCCTTAAAAACAATGGTTTAATGTAGTTTTACATTTGATCTAGAGAATATCAAGAAGCAGAAAATTAAGAAAGATGAAGAGAATTTAACAGAAAAAAAATAATATGTGTAGCACATTTTTATTTTATTAACAAAAGGAAATGATAGCAGATCATATCATGATTATTATAAGATTAAGGTCATGTTCAGCGCTGCACCAAAATTTGCATAATTTTGTACCAAATCGTGCATCAAAATAAAATTAATCTTACACCATTATATCAAAATTTACACCAAATGAATAGTGTTTAATCATTTTTTCTCTTTTTTTATTCTTAGTAATTTATTATTGGAAATATTATTTATTTATTTATTTTAGAAATACATAAATTACTAAATAAATAATTACGTTAAATTAAGGAAAATATTAAATTCATTAATAAATATATTATTAAAATATAGTACAATTAGTAGAATCACTTCAAAAACTAAAAATATTAAATCATGCCATAAAAAAATAGTGCACTGCATTTCGAATTTGAATATTATGAAGTCTAAATATCATTGCAATTTAATTCTCGAAATTCGTATGTTCTTCCCACAAATGAATCCAAGTGATGTATCAGATGAAGATATCGTGAATATTACTCATAATATATGCTTCCAAATGTTAAGTTTCTGTTAAGTTAATATTACATTATCTTTGCTTTGTAGATGTTTCGTGTTAACTATAAATAATCGTGTTTATTATATTTAAAAAATTTTATTCTTATCTTAATTAATTCAGCAATTATTATTTTTAACATTTAAAATTTATTTTAAATGCAAATAATAATACTAATAATATTCTTAATAATAATTGTATTAAAAATTATATAACACAAATACTCTCAAACAATTCTTTTGGTAAATGAAAAAAGTGGGCAAATTGGACTTTACACCATTTTGAAAAAATGGTGCAAAATTGGGTGTCACGTTAGAGCACTTTTGCACCAATTTTTGGTGAAATTTGATGTTTTGGTGTTGCCATTGGAGATGACCTAAAATACCAACTACTGCCACGGGGATCGTAGGGGAAAAAAAATAAGTTTTTTTTTCTTGCTATCTTATAGTGGGGAGGTCAAGGGAGGAGTTTGGATTGCTTGTCATACACTACTAACCACGAGTCAATCGATTGATGGTATGAAGCCATCTCAAGCTGGAACAATGAGGTGACACAACCGTTAAAGCATTGGTTTTTGATGGTATTATAAATAAAACATTTGAAGCCATTTTCGTGTCTATATATGTAAAGAACATAAAATCATTGACCAGTCTTCTCTCCATTTGACTCGTACAAGAAAATTAAGTTCAGGTTTGACTAGGCCAAATTAATTACTTATACATAAATAGGAAAATTTTTGAGAAAAGTGTTTTTGTTGATCAAAAATCAAAGTAAGAATTGGGTTATTTAATTTTAAAGTAGTCCTAGGTTATATTCATTATAAGTTTTATCGTTTTAAGTAATATATTTAAAAATGATCAAACAGAAATTGATTTACTTTAAATTCAAACAAACATTCTCTACATGTCATTTGAATAATATTGTCAGATTTCTTGACAGAATATTTGTTATCATGGTACGATTAGATGTAAGAACTGATTTTTTTTTAAGCAGTCTAATAATTAAATATCATGTGGCTTATGTCAAAAAATTTGGCAAAAGTTTCTTTCAATGTAGTGAAGAAGAACGTATACAGAGACGTCGTGTTGGAGAGAGGAAGTAAGACGTGTCAGCTTTTCATCATTTAAATAATCTCTATTTTGTAAAACTTTTTATCTATTTTTCAAAAGATAGCATTTCCTCTTCAAAAGTTTTATTCAATTATCCATCATTTACCACAAATATTTAAACAATCTAAGCCTATGTTTGATAGTCTCTCTCTCTCTCTGTGTGGAAGATTTGAGTTTTTAATAGTAAACCTATGAAAATGCGTGATTAAAAAGTAAAAAAAAATTTTGAAAAAAATTTTAGTATGATATGTGTAGTTCAAAAATAATATGAGAAAAAAAGAATTTTGAAAAAATGATTATCAAAATATGTGCTAAGTATTCTCAATAAATTAGACAAAATTAATAAGATATTTCACTTTGTTTAGACACCTCAATCTTCTTAGATAATAAATTATATCTTTCATTGGAGATATCACTTAGCGTCACATAAATTAATGTTATAGTACCGTGGTACTAAATAACATTATACATATGAATATGACAAAATGTAGATTAAAGGTGGAATTGTGGAAATGGGAATATTGGCACAAAACCCAAGATAAGGGATTGTTTGTAATAAGACCAACCACCCCCCACCAAAATGAACAATTCCCCAGCAAATTGGTTTATAAGTGTTGTGTTGATTGTATCTGTATTTTGCTTTTTTTTTTTTTTTTAACAATGCTTGGTGTACAATGATTTTAACATCATTGTTGACAACATGTCACATGGCATGTGTCATTGTACGGTTTAAAAAATAATTTATCATTTCAACTAATATTTTTTTGTCACAATCAACATTGTCAACAATGCTGTACAAATAACATAATTCCTTTTTTGTTGTTTTTGGTTAAGGATAAATGAAAAATGATCAAGTGGAAGTCTTTAAAAATTCTGTGAACCATTTTTCGTACACCTAGCATCACTCTTCGAAAATTCCTATATAAAATTGTACATATACCAACTTTGTGTAACCCACACTTAGTATGAAAATTTCATAAAACTTCACTTCATAATAACAATAAATAAAAAATAAAAAAAAATTGCAAGTTATACAAGTTTATAGTTACATAGAGAAACTATTATTTTCCTGAATTTAATCTAAATAGGTCAGTGACACGACAATTTAATTGTTAACGAGACAATATTACTTTCTGACTATGCTACACCTTATCGTCTCATCTCGATAAATATAAATTCATCCAATAGAAAACTAAGAACTAAAAATATAAACGATAAATGTGAATAAGTGGCCGTTTCTTTTTAAGCAATTAGATGTGTACCTTGTCGAAATATGTTAGATAAAATAGATAAAAGGGGCATAGCTAAATAGTATCATAGCCTTTTTTTTTATATATATATAATTTCTTTTTCACTTATTATTCTAAATTCTTTTGATCAAGCAGAAAAGTCAGAATTCTAAATAAAAACTCAGATCATTACATTATCTATTCACTGAGTACCAAAAAGTCAGTCCCAAAAAAAAAAAAAAGCAAAAAACAAAATTCTCCGTTCGCCGATTATGCAAAAAGGTTGAGAAGTTTTGGCTCTATGCTACCAACTCCATTAATCCCATCCTCATCCCTTTCGGATCCCGGCAATAATTCCGATATTCCAGACCCAAACGATGCAGACATCTCCATCATCGGGCAGTTATTCCCGATGCCGGGACTAATCCTGAGTTCCGGCGGCGGAGCTTCACGGATGATGAGGCTGCTCGGTCCATGCATGAAGCGATTGGGCTCTGAAATTTGATATGTATTGCCAGTCCACCCTGCCTCAGATGCTTCATCGGAATTGAGAGGCAGAATTCCGTTGGACATCGGCCGGAGAGATCCACCGGCGAATACCGTCTCCGCCGCTTCCTGGCAGATGTGCCAGTTGCCGGTAGATAAAAGCCCCACCGCTCCATTCACAGGATTCACCGTCCGTCCACACGCCTCAAACAGCAACGATTGAAACAAAGCTATACCAAAAAAGCAGAAAAAATCCACATACAAATATCAATAAGTAGAATCAAAATTCAAATTAATCACTTATTTTCACGAGGGTCTTTGATTTTTGAGATTTACCTGGTCTTTTGTTTTCCGGGACGGCAGAAATGAAGGCCATGAGATCGCTCCTGCCAAAGAACTTTGAAACAAAAAGGGTGGCATTTGCTTGGGCTTGAGGGCTTTCGATCCAATCCAAACACGGCCTTAAGATGCACTGTTCACTGCATCCTCTTCTCAACACTCTGCACCCATTGCAGCTCATCTTTTCCTATGAGATTTCTATAACTCAAAAGGACTCCGTGTATAAGTGAGTGAGAGAGAGAGAGAGAGAGATGGGCGGTGGGGATGAAGAGGCTGCAAAAGAGAACGAGGTTAGAGATTCTTATAGGACTAGTGGGCACCTATAGTGGGGAAAGGTGGGTGACTGATGCAGAGTAGGGCTAAAGAAAAAGTAACATTTTTGCTATTGTACATCAGAGTGTTCACTATCATTATAAAAAAATTGTGAATCATTTATTGTGAGAAGGCTGTACACCGGTGTACATATAGCAAAACTCAAAAAATAATGAATCATACTACATGTACAATATTGGTTGACAACATTCTATTTGGCATCATCACATCCATCAATTATAAAAAAAACTGTTTTTATACCACATTGTAGGATTTTGACAAAACATAATCGTCAACCGGTGTTGTCAACAAATGTTGTACACTTAGATTTATTCAAAAATAATTATGATTTGAGTTTCGATTTAACGCATGTTTGGCATTTGTTACCAAAATTCGAGGAATGACGGCAGTAAAAATTATGAATTTTGAGAAATAAGAATATTTTACCATATTAATTTATGTTAAAAAAAAAAGTGTTCACAACATGCACAGGTAATAAAAAAAATGTAACTAGTAAAACTTGAATTTGTTTAGTTTATTCTATGCATAAATGGAAATAGACTCGAAAAAAATGTCAAAAAATAATTTAATTTTTTATTTGCTCTATATACAAGTATAAAATGAGTTCGATTGACATATGGCTTAACATAACTCATATTTTGTGTTGACATCGGCCACTTTTAACCTACTTTTGTCGGATGATCACTTTCATTTCAAGAACGTCCTTGGGAAATTTTAAAATTAAGCTCTTGTTCGATACTGTTAAAAATTTGATTAAAATTTAAATCAAAGTTATCAATTAATTTTAATCACTTATATCATATGATCCACAATTTTTTAATTATACATTTTATCAACTTTTATCAAAATTTGTTAATAACCTTATTTTAATATCTACCAAACAAGGTAGACAAGATAATTATATTGACCTGCAAGATAGAATTTACTTCCAAAATATGCAGCTAACTTAGTAATTACTTCGACTAATACTTATAAGTAAATTTTTAAGCATAGCCAAACATGCATTAATGTTTCTCTTAGTTTTGGGAGTGAATTAATTAAATAATATATGGGATGTGATATTTGATAGAAAGGGAATATATTGTTTCGGGCGGCTCCGTGTTTCCGCGAGAGGGGATTTTAGACCCTTGGATTTGGATTTCTTTTTCAAGCATCACTTTTCTCTTCCTTTTTTCCTACTTTTTACATCATCACTTCTTTACTTTTAATTGTATCATTGACTTCTTTTTCTCATCTTTTCACTTTTGTTTTTTCTTTTTTATTTCTTTCCTTTTGTTTTTCCGAAAATACGTTGATGAGGTAATAATGCCTCTCTTTTTATTTTTGAGAGGGGAAAATAATTTTAAATGGATGTGACTTCAAATGACATCAAACTACGTTAAGGCGTAAAAAGTACAAATAGAAATTAAATTTTATAACGTTTTAATAATGTTAATGAACCATCCCAAGCGTTTCATTTTAGGCATTCAGTTAGTGGGTCATTCACGACTTAATTGTGTCTAGACGAAATGCACACCATTAAAACTCAACTTCTCATGACCAACTGTAGAAAATGATCACTCGTGTCTTCTCTTTCTAAATGTAATGTACTTAAGGTCCGTTTGACACAACTATTATAAGTAGAAGTTTTGCAGTAGAGCTTTTATTAAATCCTCAAAGGTAAAGTGCTTCTCCAACCAACACTTACTCGTCGAACCTACTAGTGTCCGCCCTTCTCACTTGAGGTTATGTAAGGTTCAACGAAGGGTATAGACTTGGTTATGATCACTACTTATGCAAAGATCATATGTGATGATGTGGTACTGCCCAAGATGAGGCTCACAAGTCATAGTATCATATTGTCAAAGCGCAAAAACATGTGAGAAACGTGAGACGCCTCCAGGTAGCATGATGTTATGAATATACATGACATTCTTATTAGGTGACGCTTACGTAGCCCCCACATAGATTTGAGGTGTAACAAAAACTTGACCTTAGAAATTATAAAATGTATGAGTTGGAAAGGTAATAAGAATTTTGCTTCAAAAATTGAAACACTTTTAATTTGTCATCTTCTCGATTATTTGTATTTGTTTCATTTTTTAAATTTCTTCTCGCTAAAGGTCAATTCTTCCATGGTTACCACCAATCTAGCGCCTCTCATTTCTTTGTAAAAGCAATGTGCTAGCAATTTCACCAACTATACCTATTACGCCTCTCCCTATGAGATAGTTTACATAGCTTCCAACAAAGCAAAAAGCCGGCAAAGCAAGCACTCTACCACAAGGAAGAATGTCTTCTCTATTGAGGAGATGAGACGGAGGCCTCTCCCCAATTTGGCAAACCGGCAACAACATGCTTGCCCTACTCTAGACCGGAACTACTCCATCACGATACTTACATCTATTTACTCCAATTTTTTATGAGACGTGCACAAACGAGTTTGGGTACCAAGGAGTATAACCAAACTAACCCAATATATTATGAAATTGGAAATGGCAAGCCCCAATTTCCACCTACAAATAAAGGCTCTTTGGCCAATTATTACCGGTATATAGCCATCACAAGAACATTTTTCAGAGCTAACTAGTGCCATTGATGTCCTGGTCAATCAAAGTGTCCATCCAGGAGAAAGGACCATGCTCCAGCGAGAGTTGGAGATTCACACCTTAGAGGAATCATAACTAGCCTCGACATGATAATGTGAATTGCCCTCTTAGAGAAAATCAACCTAGGTAGGAGCTGGGTACTTCGACTTAGATAAGAGCAGGTGTAAAGAATGAACTCCCAAGGGACGTTGATCACGATCCCATCCGAGATATAGATACCATTTTGGGGCTTCATGTTAGCAGTTAGTCCAAGAATGCCCAATGAAACTATGCTAAAGAGGCAATGAATTTGCCCATGACCGTTATCGTCAATATTCGACCCTTTGAGTCTAGAAGGGTGAATCCCATCACTTTCACTACGGAGGACACAAGGGAGAACTATTACCGTCATTCTGATGCCATAGTCTTGAGATCTGTTATAGCCTGCAATGGGATGAAAAGGATGGTAGTGGACAATGGGAGTTCCATCAATATCATATACAAAACTATCTTCACAAGATGCAAATGGACCACCTATCCCTAACTCCGGATCCGTTGTTTCAAATTTAGGGAGGTTAGCATCAGTTCAAGGGTAAAAAAATATCCTTGTCATAGAGATGAGATAAAATCCCTTCATGGAGTTTCTAATAATAGACAACAAATCTGGCCTTAAAAAAATTTATATGAATGTGATTCCATCCACCATCTATGTATCAAATTCCCAACAAAGAACGAGATCTTCATTGTAACGCACTTATTTTGAGGTCAGGGACTTCTACATAAACTTCCTAAGGAAGGCGAAGAATCGTGAAGTCAACATGGTGCTAGAAGATGTTGAGATCCCTAAAGGACTATCAGATATAGACCTCCCATTGGAAGAGGTGGAGATGACCGAGTCCCTTAAAGAAGGGGTGTGATGTCAACAAATTAGATCATTGCATCATTGCCTTAGATTTACAGGCTCTCTCCACATAGGCACTCGAAAGCTTTCCAGTAGATCTTAGAGAACCACAAGATTGCTCCAGATAGGAAACAATGTCACATGATACGAATGTTGCATTCAAAGAATTTTTATGTCAAAATTTAGATGTCTAGATGAAAACATGATGACATAGTCGGCATTGATCCAAGAGTTAGTTGTCATTCCTTGAGAATTGACCTAAAATTCTGCCCTCATATGTAAAAGAGAAGGTCTCTCAATTCGAAATGGTACGAGTCACTGAAAGAATAGGTAAACAAGCAGGTGAAAATGGATTGATCAATGAAGCCCAATACCTGGCTAGGTTTCCAACCCATTTTGGTGAAGAAGCCTAAAGGCAAGTGGAGCGTATGTATAAAATTCTCTAATTTGAACCAAGCATGTCCTAAGGACAAATTTTCCTTACAAAGAATTAACTAACTAATTGATAGCATTGCGGTACATGAGCTTTTGAGCTTCATGAACTCGTATTTACTATGTTGGGAAAATGCTACACAAATTATTAGGCTCTGTAACAACAAAAGCTCAACCACATCAGAATATTAATTTTCCCTCCTCGTGTGTAAATAAGATAATAAACCAATCAAGAAAATATAAACTAACAGCAATCACAGAAAATCAATACACCAATTTTTGACATGGAAAACCCTCCAAGGCGAAGGGAAAAACCACGAGATGACACTAAACCAACCACACTACAACCTCCACTATGAAAAATAATGGGTTACACAAGTTTCTCTCTAGATAACACTAGAGGTACATCCAAAATATCACAAGCTTCACTTAAAAGTGGATTTCAACAAAAAATACATCAAACTAAAGGTTTGGAACTCTCGACAGATGAAACAGTACAAGAAGGGAATCGACTATCCAAATCGGTAAATACATAGCTTGAGTTGTTGACGATGATATACTGAAATTTGGGAAAGATCGGAGAAGGATCCACCGTTGAATCTTGCAAACTACCTCTCTTTCTCCATTTTCTTTTCTTCTCAGTTTTTCTCCTCTTTCTCCGTCGATTTTCTTGTGTGTGTTTTGTATGCCTTTTAACCGCCTAAACACTCCTCCACTTATGCACAATCCAGAGTTGTTTTGTTTTGGGCTTCATTGATTTGTTTTGGGCTTTTATCAAAGCCTAAGCCCACATAAGTGGACTTAAACCCAACAAATTATAATATCAAATTGTCATGTACCCTTCTTATGAAGACCTCAATTATTACTAGTAGATGCCTCTATTACTACAAGGTGATATCCTTTGGGTTAAAAAGTGTCAGAGTCACCTACTAAAGATTGGTGAATAAA